CTCACCGTTTTTGGCTACCCATCAATCGAAAAATAGTCGATGGCTTTTTTTCCGGTAATTCCTAGGGAATCGAAAAATATTTTTTAAACATGATTTTACTTCCGGAAGTAATTATGATCAATTAATTAAATAAATTACTGAAATTATAAAGGAGTTCCGAGAAACTCAGGCAATTTCCGAAAACTTCAGCAATGTCCTGAGGGGCTCATGCAAATTTAGGAAACGTAAGGGAAGTTATATGAACATTAGAACATTGTGAGAACATTTTATGGGAAGTTCTATGCTTTTTAATGCCAAAGTCGATAACTTTTAAAAATTAACAATTCTGGAAGATCAGAGAACTTTTTTTTTATATCTTTATTAAGGAGACTTTCAGCCCTGGGCTGGTTCGTCTCCGGTTCAGAGAACTTCAATGCTGATGTTACAATAAATTCAAGAAAATTGTGATAGCACTTAAGAGATTTTGTAATCTTCAAGAAAGTCCAGAAACCTTCAAAGATGATTAGAGATATTCTGGAAGTCTCATTATAATGAGGGAAATTCCGAGCGCTTCGAGGATGACCAGAGAACTCCAAAACAGCCCCTAATTTTAGGAAAATTACAAGAACTCTTAAGTAATTTCTAGGAATTATGCCATATTCCTAAGTGCATTACAGGAATGTTCCGAAAACTTCAGGGAAATTGCGGAGTCTTCAAGAATGTTTTATGAATATCAGGAATTTTTTTTTGGATCATTAGAAAATCCCCCAGGAATCTCTTTCTTCCGAAATTATGTCCTTGTAACTTTCGACTGTTCCGTAAGCGTTCTGGCTTACGACTTTCTTCAGATGTTTCTTCCAATCTACCCTAGGAATTTTCTGCCAGCGTCTCCAGAAAGTTTCTTTCGTCTTCTCCAGGAAGTTCAATCAATTCTCCCAGAAATTTGTTTCATCTTCTTCTGGATGTTTGACCATAAGCCAAAGGTTTTTTTGTTTGACTTCTATTGGAAGGTTTTTCCAAGCTTCTTCTGGCTTTCCCTGGAAATGGCTGGTTCTGAAAATTTACTTCCGGTTTCCGAAACTTTTCTGGCTTCCTTTAGATGTGACATCCGATTTTTTCCGATAGTTTATTTAAATTATCGCCACAAGTTTCTCAATTCGTGTCTTGGAAGTTTCCCGGATGTTTTTCCAACTTTTCTTCTTTCGTCTTTCTTTGGATGTTTTTTCGGCTTTGTTCAGAAGCTAATTCAAACATTCCCCGGAGTTTTCTTCCGGAATTTTCCGATCATTGTACAAAAGCTAAAATTTTGCTTTGATTAACGGCTTTCTCAGTCTTAAAACACTGCAACGACTACGATGTAATCTGCTCGACATTTCGGCCATGGGTTGTGGCCTATTTCAAATGAAAATATTGTTTGTCGTTATTGTCAATAGTTTAGTCGTTGTTGTGGCTGATTTTCCATATTTTGGTTTCATTTAATGATATTTTGTTGAAAAACTACTTTCTCACAATTTTGATCACTTGAGGACAACGATAATTTAAAAATTAAATTTAAAAAATTAAAGACTGCTTTAAGACTGAGAAAGCCGTTAAACAAAGCAATTCCCCTCAAGTACCAGTCGTCACCATCGTTAAAATTGTCGCTTTCAAAAACGGCAAAAATAAAAAAAAATTAATTAAATAGTGAATACCGATGAATACCGATTTTTTAACACCTTCGATACCGATAAGCTTTAAAACAATCGCTGATTGACATGAACATTTTCACTTCTGAATGAAAGTCATTCGATGTAAAGAGCCTGAATTTATAAAGAGGCGACATCTTATCCATTTGACAGGTCTTCTCAATTGGAATGACTTTTCCTATAACTTTGACAGACAATCGATTGTTCCAATTTTGACATGTCGCCTCTTTTTAAATCCAGGCTCTTTAATTCGATGCTAACGCAAAAAAATCTGGTTGCTTTTTCGAAAGAGCTGCAACCGGATGACGGTTGTTTTGAAATCAGATGATTTTCCTCTCGAATACAGGATGAAAATTGTTATGAGAAGGGATAGACCCTTCAGTTGAAATGCGTAATGCTCTCTTCAGAATGATAGTCATCTTAAATTGAAATGCATATAGTATGGTAATGGAAATGTAGATAATCAAATTATAAATCTAATTAAAAGCTCTTGCATGTCACACTTTTCTTAAATGTTTGTCCTCTGAGGTGCCGTATGTTTTATAGCCAATTTTCAAACGAAAATCATCCAGTATTTGGAGGACAGTTATATGAATGCTCGTCATCTGACGACGAATTCAACTATAAGAAAATCATCCAAAATTCGAATGCATATTGTTAAAGGGCTCGAGTAGTATTGCGGATGTTTTGGTTCAGTGTAGTGCCAATTACCCAAAGGAAGACGTGACCAGAGATTTTTATGCCTCAGAAAAATTCCACTGACCTCGGCTGGGATTGAACCCAGACCCAGGGATGAGAAAGTAGTCATGCTTACCACTTATTTAAAATAGTTCCAGTGTACCAAAATTGAAGAAATTTTGGGTTTGGGTTCCCTTTTTAATGCAGATTACGAATATGCATTTACCTCAATACCCTTAAAGAGCCCAATTGAAAAGTAATCAGAGTAATTTTCGGTAATCTAACTGGCACTAACCGGTAATTAACGCTGGTAGAAACCCCTCGCATCACGCCATGGCAAGCGCCAATGGGTAGCCGGTAGGGTAATATAGCAAGGTAAGCACTTTTTTTTATCCATATAAGGGATTCGCGCATGTGGTTCAGCCTCTTTTTCAACGATCAGTGTAGGTGTTAAATTGTGAACATTAGTTTATAAAAACTGCTTCGGGAAATTCAGCAAAATTTTGCTGATTTACAGGGAACAACATTTGAACGAGGGGAAGATAACCGCCCAAAAAATATATTTTTGGCTCGTTTTCAGTTTTTTTAATATTGGAAAAAATAAATAAAACATCCAAGAAAATCAATTTTTTTCATTAGATTTCTGAAAAAATGACATGTAACATATTTTTTGTATGTATGGGGGAGAGGTAGCTCATCGATTCTTCCGGTTCGCCTCCTAGCATCGTGTTATAAGGTACCAGGCGATAACCAGGGTAGTTGATCGATAGCTCGATGACGTCATTTCGTTGGCGTCTGCAATGGGAAATTCTCATAGCAGGCGTTGACGATGGGACGTTGTCGAGTTGTTGAATAGCAACTATCGTGGTAACTCACCGATTACCTGTCGATCTGCCATATTTGGAAAGATGTCTGCATTGAATTGTCTCATATAATAATATTCCGCCCACTATATCACAAGAAATTGCGAGTAGCTGAGTGGAATGGAGATAAGTTAAGCATTAGGTATAGGACCAAGTCTCCCCTGGGTGGTGCCAAAAGATGAGCGCAATAGAATCATCAAGTTGCCATAAGGCACGGAATGAGACTATTGCATGGCTGGGTAGTCAAAGTCTTCCATTCGTTAGTCATTTCAGGTGGATTAGAACAGGTTTAGGTTTATGGTGGGCGTTGGCCAGATTTGGATTTTTCAGATGTAATCCTGAATAGGACCCTGTCATTGAACGTCGCGTGAAAGTGGAACTTAATGAAGGCCTAAGTACTTTTTCGTAGTTTTTAGTTTTCGGATTTGAAAGATCGTCGGTTACAGTGGCCCATTCCTTTCTTGACCTGTGTTCGGGCGCGGCCGGCGCTGGTATTGCCTAATTTAAGATCACCAGTTTTTACACATTGAGGATGATTGCTAGTTCCAAGCATCGTCTATTGGTTCTCTGTGTAATTACAGCTGTTCTGGCAGTAACAGAGTAGCAACCGTGGGCGGTCAATCAAGCTCAAGCTCAAGCTCAAGCTGTAACATATTTTTTGTATGTAATCATGAAAAAAAAAGTTGGACCCTGAACATTACCGAAAGGTCGATTTTTGAGGTTTTTTGAGTCCAACTTTTTCCATGATGACTTGGGAAAAAATATGTTTGCATGTTAATTTTCTTTCTAAAAAAATGTTTTAGATTTCCGTTAGTGTAATCTTTAAAAATGCTCCTAACAATAACATACTCCAATCAAGTCTCTGTAAAATTTGTGAAAAAATTAATTCCCTAACGGCCAATCGTTAAACATAGGTAAAAAACCATCGATAAATAGAGGAAGGCTTTGTTTACAAATCTACTTAAGGCACAATTTCCAAACAATCAGCCCTGTCAAATCGTCCTAAATAGTTAGAAAGAACATGCATAAATGGATCGAAGAGTAGCCAAGATTGATGGTGGTTTCCAACAGAAAGCAAAGTTGAAGCGAAATTTAAATTTGTGAGCGGTTTATGGTATAGGTTTATGTCTTTGTATAGAGTCCTACAGTAATGTAGAATTTGAAACCGTCCAGTGTTAGTTGCCGTATTGTTTCTGCTATGTGTTTATTTGCTAACCAACAGTGTTGGTAATAGATTAAGTAGATAGTATTATCATCATCAATTCGCTAGATAGGAGATTCCGGTTATCGCGGGTGGTAGGTTCTACAAGGTAATAGGTTCTAGGGTTCCGTGTGTGTGTGTGTGTGCTCTAAATATCTGAAATCTAGGATGTGACAAAATAGCGAATCTCTTCTGTTGATCGATATTAGTTATAGAGAGTAGATGGAAATAGTTTTAAAATATTCCTTATTTTCTTCTCATTTCAATAGCGTATAGATTTGTTACCATTCGGTGTGTTTATGTGTTTCTTATTTTCTTCAAGTGTTGCGTGATTGTATCTTGCGACTTTTATCTTCGTGTGTGTGGTTTGTGTATTCAATTATTTAACAAGGCTAACTAACGGTGCTCCGTGTAGTGTTGCTTCTTGTGAATGTGTCCGTGTGTAAGTGTGTTGGTTCGTTTAGAAATATATAGGTGGTTTTAGTTGCATCAATATTCATCATTATTGTGTTTAGCAGTGTTTCTCTCTTTTGCTGAATAACAGTGTGAATTCGAACGTTTGCTTAAGTACTCGCGTGGTATGTTTGTAACATGTTATTTTTTTTAATTAGTTAATTCCTTTACCTACTTTTGTATTGTTTCAAGTAGTTGCTTTTGAAATCCTTTCATGCTTTAGATTTAGATTCACTATAAATATTCTTGCATAATATCTAAGGGAGCTACAATAGCTAAAATAATTTTGCAAATCTAAAAACAATGTGCTGCACAGAGTGACGGTTGAAAAATGGCATATTCTTATCGTCTATAGCTGGGTTGTAATCAAGGTAAAATAAAACTATCTAAACCTATGCTACCTTCTAAACTGTTCAACTAATTTTTACAGCTGCTCGGAATGCGCGGCCTGGAAACCGAATTTCACCGTCTACCCAGAAGGTAGGTTGTGAAGGATGGTTTCAGCAACCAATTCCTTCGCTTTACTAAAGCAATAAATATAGAACATATGGCTGCCAAAGAAAATGTTTCAACAGTCAAATTCTAAACAACTTAAACCGCTGGAGGAGGAATGTTCGATCTGCGTTCACAATCAAAGATGTATAACTAACTGTGTAAAACTACAACAATTCAGCGCGCGCTTTTGTGAGGCCATTATTGCGTTGTGGTGTTTGTTTTTTTTTTTTTTTTGTTTGTTTGTCAATTATATTTGTTTTGCTTGTTTTGCTTCGCCAAAACGAAATGTGGGAATGTGATGGATAATTTAATGTCAAAACGATGCGTGTGGAATGCGAGCGTTTTGACGAACAATTTGATTTGATCAAATGTACCGCGCCAAGTAACGCATTTGATTGGACCCTTGGGACTCGGAATTTTGATTATCGTGTGTGAATAAAGACTTCTCTGCGTGTGTTTATCTGATGATGGCTGCAGTTTTTCTCGTCAGAAATGAGAACTTATCTGTACCAAAAAACAGTACGTGAAGTAGTTTAGAAAAAGTAGATTCAGTAGTTTAACAGTCTATATAGGTGTCTACGCATGTATAAAAATAAATCGCTTTGTGTGTAGAAAACATGAGGCCATTTTTGATGAAGGTTCGTATTCGTTTGATGTGGATCTGTATGCATATGTGTATGTGACTCTGTAACTTTCTAATAGCTGCAAAGCCCGATAATGTATAGCAATTCCCTTTCTTTTTTTCTGAAATTCTCCCTAGCAGCTCTCTCTCTCTCTTGTTTCGATTTCTTAAACAACAATATCACAATTGGTTGATTAACTTATTGCATGCCACTGACGGACTGTTATGTCGCAGTCGCGCTATCGGTCGTGTCTTCCCTCCTTAGACCCAGACTCCGTGAGGGTTCTTACTGGTAGGCACCGCATTTTCCAGCTGTCTCGGCGATCCGATCATCCTCCGGGTACTGCCGGGCTTCACCGAACCAACTGTAAAGAAACATAGAAAATGATTAGAAAACCAATATTATGATGAATCATTCTGTACTTGTTAAATACAGGCATCCCCAGAATAGGCTTTTTCAATGCACCATCAATGTAGAGGGCGCAAGACGAGTTCCCATTTCGTCACGTTTTTTTCTATATCTAATGCATTGCTTGTCACAAAAATTTACAAAAGCCACGCCCCCTCCCCCCCCCCCCCACAACGAGACATTATATATGCATCACCGCATAGACTGAGTAAAATTTTCCTCGATTTTCTAGGAAAAACTTTTCGAATATGAGGAAAATCGACAGACTCCTAGACTTAGTAAAATTTTCGTCGGTTTTCGACATACGGGGTATGGAAAACCAATCAATGTAAGGTTATAAATAAGCATACCAGTCATTTTTCCTATTATAAGTACAGTGTTTTGAAATCTGAAATGACATGACATTCAAAGTAAAATTGTGATTCCACCATTTCTACTGAATTTTCAACGTTATTATTCACTGACGACGGTAAAAATAGAATTACAAAATGTATTCACAGTCCGCATCGTGCTCTCTTGCCGGGCGGATCTATTTGCTTTTTGCTTAAGGAAGTGTTACTACTACCTAACGCTACAACAAATTTAAACAGCACTTTTCAGTGCTCAACCTGTAAAAATTTTCTACCTTGTTCAAACTTTTATTCCTCTTCGATCCTTGTTTGGACCCTACCCGAGGTAATCCTTCTTGGATATCGATTTGGAAAATTCCTCTTCGATCCTTCAGATTCTTATAGTAATCTGCTTGGAAGTCGATTTGGATAAAAAATTACTGCCGCCATGGCGCCTAAACGCAAAAGAAAGGGGCAAACTCTTGACCCCCCTTCTGATGAAATTAATTTGAGTAATCAATTTGATTTGCTCACGGATGATGAGAATGATCTATCATCCAAGAAAAATTCTAGTAAACTTTCCCGGCTTAATGCCAAGAAGGAAAAGATTCCCCCTATTGTGATAACCACTTCCGATTTCCATGCTCTTCGCATGGAACATTTGAATTTCGTGAAAGTTAAGTTTTCACTACAAATTGGACGTCGGGGTGAATGCCGTGTATTGGCTGAAACCTTGGACGGATTTAAATGTCTTCTCAAGTATCTTACTGAGAAGCAGCACAATTTTTTTACTTACGACACGAAAACTGAACGTGTGTTCAAGGTTGTCATGAAAGGACTGCCCAGTGGTGAATCCCTGGATCAGATCAAAGATGAACTGGCAAAATTACTTGGAGTTGTTCCACTCCAAGTAATCAAAATGAAAATGAAATCCCGTCCTGGCGATTCACGCAACGGGATTTCTAATGATTTTTATTTAGTTCACTTCAAGTCTAGTAAACTAAACAACCTTATGGCCTAAGAAAAAGCTAGCCTTATGCTCCATGTTGCTACATGCCAGCTAAATGCATGAATTGTGGAAAATCCTAAGAAATTTAAATGTTCAAATTGTGGTGAAAACCACAAATCCAATTTTTGGGAATGTAAGACTCGCAAAGCGATCCTACAATCTCGTTCTAACCGTCAGGTAGGAAACGCTCCACGTTTCCGACCAGGTACAAATTCCTCTGCTGTTAACAACGGTCAGCGAGGAAAAAATTCTACATTCGTACCCGTAGGTACATCAGGTTCATCTATACCTACTCCCCCGCTGCTAACAATGTTTAGCGAGTTAATGGAGCTACCTATGCTGCTATTGCAGCGGGTAGAAACCAAAATACTAACCAACGTAATTCTAACGGGAATTTTGACAATTTTGACTTAGGAAGCATTAGGGTTAAGTACCCCATTTCCGGCCTATTAAGCATAACCCGCACTTAGGTTTTCTTAATCTAGTTCAGTTTAGCACCAAACGGATTGTTATTATTACTGATGGCTTCCAAATATATTTACCTTTCCGTACGTATCGTAAGATTTGAAAACGAGAAACCAATCGTTGAGATATTGCCAAAAGTTCTACACTGCTTCTTGACGCCAAACTCGGCCTACAGATTCTAAACTCGGCCTAACGCATTGAAACGCCATTGAAACGCCAATGAATTCACTTCGGCCTATCGGATGAAGATAAAAATTGATTCGGTCGGAGCGCTTCTTTTGTTTTTGAGAATAATGGGTGCAAACCTTCACACCACGCGTTCTCATTGACTTCGTTCGGTAGCTTATTAACTAAAGTACCGTACCAAACGCATAATTGACTTGTTAACTCTGAAATCATGGATTTATTTGAAGTTTTCTGCTTGATAGGCCCAAAATGGGCGATTAGGCCGAAGTAGTTCTCTACCCTACTGCCCTTAAAATGGAATTTTTACAGAAATCATTAATTGACATGATTTCTGATATGCTTAAATCTAACTCCATGTTTGATGCTATTCAAACTGGAGTAAAATTTGCTAATAATATTGTCATGACTTTAAAATTCAGTAATGGATTTTAAAGCTTTAAATATTTTAAATTGGAATGCTCGATCTCTTAAAGATAATGAAGACGAGCTGTTTAACTTTTTGAGAGTTCATAACGTGCATATTGCCGTTATAACTGAAACGTTCCTTAAACCTGACCATAAGGTTAGGAAGGACTCAACTTATTTAATTTATAGAAATGATCATCATTGTTCATAGACGAATCAAACATAAAATTCTTTCTTCATTTGAAACCAAAGTTTTTGAAACTTTGGGAGTTTCTGTTGGAACAAAATTTGGACAACTTACGTTTACAGGGTGCGTGACGAATTTTTGCAGTAAATTTCAAATAGTAATTTCTCATGCTTGTGCATCATGATTTAGATATATTTGGCAGCACTGGATAGCTTATACTGTTATGTGTAAGATTTAAACAAACAATGTTGAGTAAACGTAAAGATGTCGAAACAAGAGAGCAATCTGTCAGCCGTTGTCGCTTTGTTGCGCGCCGGAGTATGCATGAAAGAAATAATTCGGTCGGTAAATGTGTCTGAAAGAACAGTGTATAATATTAAAAAAAAAGGCTTGGGAAAGTGATAAGACGGAGCACCTGCTCATACTGCTAATAAAGCACAGAAATGGCTTACGGAAAATATTTCGTAAATTTGGGAGTAAGAAATTCCCGATATCAATCCGTTGGATTATTTTGTATAGGGCGTCGTCCAACGGGATACCAATAGAACCCCTCACACCACACTTAAGTCGCTAAAAGCTAAAATCAAGGCAGTGATGACATCTATGGATCGAAACATTTTAAAACGTGCATACTGCAGTTTCCGGAAGCGTCTAACTACAGTCGTCGAAAGGGAAGGCAATTTTTTTCGAATAAATTTACTTACAACTTCCATATGTTGCGAAAGAAAATGAATCGCACAAAATTCATTGCTAGAATAACTAATTGGTGTATTTTTTCTCAAATATGCCATTTACTGCAAAAATTCGTCACGCACCCTGTATAGCTGCATATTTGCCATTCCAATGAGTAGGCTAGCAAAAGAATTTTCTCAAGGGTGACCTCCAGAAACTTACCCGTCATAGGTCTAAATTCTTCATTATTGGTGATTTTAATGCAAAACACCGCTCATGGAATAATGCTCAAAACAATTCCAATGGTAATATTCTGTCTGATGATTGTTCTGCAGGTTATTACACTATTCAATATCCAAACAGCCCAACATGCTTTTCTTCTGCAAGAAATCCCTCAACTATTGATTTGGTCTTAACTGATTCATGCCAACTTTGTAGCCAATTGGTTATCCATGCTGACTTTGGTTCTGATCACCTTCCAGTAACTTTTGAAATATCCCAAGAAATAATTTGTAATCCTAATAGCTCTACTTTCAATTACCATAGAGCTGATTGGGAGCAATATCGAACATTTATGGAATATAACTTCAATCCAAACATTCCTTTGCAAACCAAGGATGAAATTAATTATGCTCTTGAATCTCTGACTACTTCTATAGTTGAAGCAAGAGCTGCCTCAGTACCAAAATGCGAGGTTAAATTCGATTCAATTATAATAGACGATGATCTTCAGCTCTTGATCCGTCTTAAAAATGTCCGTAGGAGACAATATCAAAGAACACGCGATCCTGCCATGAAAGTTATCTGGCGGGATTTGCAAAAACAAATTAAAAAACGATTCTCTGCCCTGAGGAACAAAACTTTTGAAAATAATGATTCTAAATTAGACCCGAGTTCCAAACCCTTTTGGAAACTCACAAAAATTTTGAAAAAAAAAACCTCAAAAGCCAATTCCATCGCTTAAAGAAGTTGGTAAAATTTTGATCACAAATTTGGAAAAATCTCAGAAACTTGCTAAGCAATTCGAGAGTTCCCATAATTTCAGTTTGGGTCTTACTAGTCCTATTGAGAATCAGGTTGCTGGGGATTTTCTGAATATTTTCTGGGGGACTGATTTGGACGAAGTAAGGTCTATAACTAAAAAGTTTCAAAATATGAAAGCTCCAGGTGATGATGGAATTTTCTATATCCTCATCAAAAAACTCCCAGAGAGTACCTTGTCTTTCTTGGTAAAATTATTTAACAGATGTTTCCATTTGGCATACTTTCCTGATAAATGGAAAAATGCAAAAGTTGTTCCAATTTTGAAGCCGGATAAAAATCCAGCTGAAGCTTCTAGCTACCGCCCAATAAGTTTGCTTTCTTCAATAAGTAAACTTTTTGAAAAGATAATTTTAAATAGAATGATGCTTCACATCAATACGAACTCAATTTTTGCAGATGAGCAGTTTGGATTTCGCCATGGGCATTCAACTACTCATCAACTCTTAAGAGTTACCAATTTAATTCGTTCAAACAAATCTGAGGGCCACTCAACTGAAGTTGCTCTTCTAGACATAGAAAAAGCATTCGACAGTGTTTGGCATGAAGGTTTGATTGCTAAATTGAAAAAGTTTAATTTTCCGCTTTACATTATGAAATTAGTTCAGAATTATTTAACTGACAGAACTCTGCAGGTAAATTACCAAAATTCCAAATCCAATCGACTACCTGTTAGAGCAGGAGTTCCTCAGGGTAGCATTCTTGGGCCTATATTGTATAACATTTTCACTTCGGACCTCCCTGAGTTGCCACAAATCTTTGTTCGCTGATGACACAGGCATTTCCGCTAAAGGAAGAAGTCTTCGTGTTATTTGCAGCAGACTGCAGAAAAGTTTAGATATTTTTTCTTCTTATTTACAAAAATGGAAGATTTCTCCCAACGCTTCCAAAACTCAACTTATAATATTTCCACATAAGCCTAGAGCTTCGTTTTTGAAACCTAGTAGTAGTCACATAGTCACTATGAACGGGATTCCAATTTCCTGGTCAAACCAAGTGAAATATCTTGGATTAATACTTGACCAAAAATTAACTTTTAAGATCACATTGAGGGCATTCAAGCCAAATGTAACAAATATATAAAATGTTTGTATCCTCTTATAAACAGGAAATCCAAACTTTGCCTAACGAATAAACTTCTAATATTTAAACAAGTTTTTAGACCGGTTATGCTTTACGCTGTGCCAATATGGTCTTGTTGTTGCACTACCAGGAAAAAAGCACTTCAAAGGATTCAGAACAAAGTTCTGAAAATGATTTTGAAGTTGCCTCCCTGGTTCAGTACTACCGAAGTACATAGAATTTCGAATGTTGAGACTTTAGCACAAATGTCCAACAAAATAATTAATAATTTCCGGCAAAAATCGTTGCAATCTTCAATTGCAACGCTTAATCCCCTTTATACTTAGATAAGATTTAGTTTTAGTTTTTTAGTTTTAAGATATCAATTGTTATACTGACATGCAGGTTTAAAAAAACCTGTTTAAAATACTGAATTGCCATGACAGGAACAATGTAAAAACACTTAGCTATATATCATAACAATTAAGGCTGGTAAGCTACTTTAGTAACTGGAGCACCTAGGTTAAAATGAAATGTAATTTATTTTGAATTTGAAACAAATAAAAAGCTAAAAAAAATATATTGTTTCTAAACAGTTAACATAATAATCTGTCGAACTTCAACTTGGAATTTCTCAAAATGGCGGCCTGGCAAAAGAAATATGCTGAATATGGTTGTCCCACATACTAACCTTCCAGCAGATGTCGCACCTCGTCGGCCGGTGCCACCGCCAGGCTCTGCAGGTTGACTTCCTTCATCTCGTGCACCAGCTGTTCGACCTGTTTCTTCTTCTCCGCAATGTTGCTCTCGATGCCGGCCACCTCGCTCTTCAGCTTGTCGGTTGCCTTGCCCGCGTGGTCCGTGCTCTGGATGGCCAGATCAATCTCCAGCTGGATCCTGTCAACTTCAGACATTAGATGACGTTCTAACTGTGCACGATTAGAGTCATACTGTCGGCAATACTTGCGCTGCTCGACCTGGATTTCGTCCATCAGCAGCCGGATCTTGTTCTTGCACTGCAGCAGTTCCGTCTCGCAGTTGGCCAGCTTCGAGCGGAGCAGGGTGATCTCCGATTTGAGAGTCTTCTCCTGCTGCCGCACGAGCTCGCCTTCCTCCTCGACGTACTGGAGCGTTTGCAGTTGCTCGTTGCCCTGCCGGTAGACTTGATCCGTTTTGTTGATCTCCTGGGTGATGGCTTCGAGCTTCTCCTGCTGCTCACGGCCTTTGCTCTCCAGGTACTGGATCTCCGAGTCGTACTGTGGGGAAAAGCGGAGGTAAAACGGGTCGATTAAAATCGTGGGATGAACAATTCTTTGAATAATTATGTGGCAATGATTGCTGTTACCTGACGTCCACTCAGCAGAAATGGTAAACGTTATTTAGTTTATTCATTCTAAATATAAATCTACTTGGGATTCATTGAGCTACAATTTGAACGAAGGAATTCCAACAAAGCACGGTGCCCCTCAAATTATTTCCAATAACATATTTAATGCATACTTTTCCCAGCCCACGGAGCGTTCCACCCCACGAATATGCCACACGCCATGAATAATAAGGTTAAGACGTGCGTTTTTCTTTGACTTCTTTCTGATCATCATAATGTGATATGATGTGCGTGTGTGACACGCGCCTTTTAACCTTCGGTTTCGATTTTCGTCTGGTTCCTTCCGTGCAGAGAGGGAGGATGGTTAGAGTTTCAAACCCCCGTCCCAAGCCCCAGGCTTTATCCGTGTTGTTGTCGCTGTAGGTACAGTACCAGACATAAAGAAATATTACACTGTGATATTTTTGTTATGCTATGAAATTTAAAGGTGCTGTAAATTTTCAGTATGAACATAACAATTTCTGAAATTTGGGCTGCTGGTTGAGTACTCACAGTTCATCAGTATCAGATTGAGACTAAATCCAATGTGAAACGAAAAAAAACCATCATGTGACACATCAAATGACATCATGATTCAAAAAGGTAGTTATTTGGCCTTGGCGCTCCTAATGACTACCTTTTTGAATCATCATGTCATTTGATGTGTCATATGATGAGTTTTTTTTTTCACGGTCATCACATCCGACCATGTTCCGGGTACCGCCAGGGAAGTAGCCAGTTCCTTATTACCGTCAAAATCCATCAAGTGATACGATGGATCGAAGTAGGCTCTGCTAGTGGACGGTTCGGGTTTCTTGCGCTGTCAATCTTTTGCATAGTTGAAAAGTGTAATCTGTGAAAAACATCGTTACGATGACAAATAACTTGAAACTTCGGGTCGTTTTGCAAGCCGCGAAGTGATTTTTTTTTTGTTCAAATGAGAAGAGGTGGTTGAACTACAGTTAGTGCTAATTGGCAAACGCGGTTAGAAGAAAACAGAAGAGAACGAAGATCCGTGTATGGCGTTCGTTGCGAGCTGTGTGATGAAGACGAAGCATCTGGCGGAGGACAACAGACAGCAGCTAATGGGGTGTTTACATCTGTGCGGATTTGCTAGCGCTAGTGTACTAGCTGTACAAATTTCAGTTGCTCCTGAAATCTCATGCTGGTAGACACTGATGCCCTGTTTACATTATGCTGGTGAGCTTTTTTGCTAGCAGCTGGCTCATTAGCGCTAGTGAAATAGCATAAGTGTAAACTACTGAAGAAAATCGTGGAATAGAGAAGTCCGGCAAATTTTATGATCACAGTCAAGCAGACCAGTTTTGGTGAGATCATTCCATTTTTATCTATTAATCAGGAATTTTGAGAACATTGGAGGCTTTTGGTGAGATGATTCAATGAAACTATAAAAACAATTATATAAACCACTCATTACATTACATATGATTAAAGCCAATTTAAAATCGTTAGTTTCCACCGGTTGGTCACACTGGACTAGCCTATCGGTCCCAAGTACATCGATGAACGTACCCCATTCTAGACGAAATTCTAGTACTACACTATGTTTGTTTTGATTCGCTATGAAAGTTTGCTAAATAAAATGAGGGGTTCGTGGATTTTTCTATGTTTCGAGGGGTGCATCGATAAGCTTGAAACCGAAGATAGTACCAGAGCTGAGCCAAAAAGTTGAGCACGTTTCTTCGGGACCTTCTGGTCTTACAGTTACCTCTATGGTATTAGTTCATATGACCAGTACTGTAGATGTTATCACATTTGATGCGTGTGTTTTCGAGCAGAACGAAAAACGATCATCGAATGAGACAGCCCCTCCCAGGAACGGCCGCCGCACCTCCAACAAGTGGGAAATAGCATTTTTACGCCTCGGCAAATGGATTTTCCGAGTTTTGCTGCTGGTTAGCCTTCATACATATAGTGGGAAGGAGGGGGTCCTTTACTCGGGTGCATAGGCGTGGGCAGGACTTTTAGGGACCTATCTGTTGATGTTGAATTTAGCCGATGAACAAGAAATAGTCATTCAAAAAACATCTAATACAGTCAACACTCCATATCTCGATGTTCTTTATCTCGATACGTGACCTTTTGACGTAGGACTACGTTTTTGTGGAATATACTATACACTTAGAAATACCTAATCTTACACGTGACGGAATCCATCTTTGACATAAAGGATGAGACGTTAACAAACATGTCATGTAAAATTAATGGGCCTCCCTTAGCTCAGTCGATTAAGGCGCAGCTACAAAGCAAGACCACGCTGGAGGTGACTGGGTTCGATTCCCGGTCCGGTCTAGGAATTTTTCGGGTTGGAAAATTTCTCGACGTCCCTGGGCTGAGAGTATATGATTGTACTTGTCACATAATTATATTAATGCAAAAATGGTACATGCATCGAAAGCTCTCAATTAACAACTGCGGAAGTGCATCTAGAACACTAATGTGGTGTTTAAACTTAGGCTAGTTCACTAGAGCTAATGAGCTCGCTGCTAGCAAAAACGCTCACCAGCATAATGTTAACAGGGCATCAGAGTCTACCAGCATGACATTTCAGGAGCAACTGAAATTCGTGCTAGTTGGCGAGTACACTAGCACGAGTAAATCCGCACAGATGTAAACACCCCATAAGTTGAGAGCACGCAATAAGCTAATATGCGATAAGCAATCAACTTGAAATGTGAAGAAGAAGAAGTGCCGTGCTGTCATGGTAAATTTAGAGCTGGCTACTGACTGAATTTTCATATAAGCACATTTTAATATCTGTAAGCAGAATTTTTCGATTCGATCTCGTCGATGTGTTTTCCGTCGATCTTGTTTTCCGTACTGAAGTACCAATGCTACCGACGTCAGGGAGGCAACTCCCACCCTGAACCCTAGCTAACCGACCCATCAACTCATGGACCGAGGATCAACGGCTTCCGAAGGAAGGCGTGACCAGAGGTTTTATGCCTCAGAAAATCCCGACGGTGCCGACTGGGATTAAACCCAGGTCCATTGGGGTGAAAGAGGCAATCACGCTTACCACTACACCACCGGCGCCGCTATAAGCAGAATTATGTTCTCTCTAATTGACATTGAAATATGGGTAAAGTTTGTTTATAATAAGCTCGCCATGAAACTTAAAAACTAACAGGAACTGACCCAGTACTGTCATCAAATATTATAAATTAACAATATGGTCCACACTTTTGTTATCCTCTAGACACGATTTTCCTCCGATACTAGCGCCACAGTGATACGAAAGGTGACTAGTACACTGTGAATTGAGCGCTTGGCAGTTGACAGCTACAAGGCTATCGAAAACAACTCATGGTAGAGCAGAATTTAACTCCAGAGAGCCTCATAGTTCAGATTTGAAAAAACCGTTTCAACTTGCCCCTTGCCTACATCTCGAAAACGGTTCCACTTATAAATATTGTATGTATGTAGTTTTTTGACGTAGGACTACGTCTGTGATTTCTATATGGGGGTACACTTTGTGAAAACCACAAATGGAACATGTAACAAAATTATCAAAGATTTTGAACGTTTATAACTTAGCTGCCCCTGGACCAATTTCAATAATTTTATCACCAATCGATCAGAAATATTTCTACGCATCGCATGTAAAATTTAAAACTTTATCGTTTTTGAAAATGTCACTATTTAAAACTGCACGAATGTGCAGCTGTTGCTATGATATTTAAAATTATCACCCATTGCCTGCGAAAAGCGATTTCCCTAACACAGATTTCAAAGTTGAATTCCATCCGGTCTCACCAAACGGTGTTTATTCAATCACCGCGTGGTGAGTGGTGGTGTTCTGCAGTACACAACGAAAGGCTCCCCGCAAGCAACTAGCTATCAAGGCTGCTCTCAATCGCTGATCGGATTCAGTTCCAATCACCGTGTGTGGTGGTGCCCGGTCGTTGGCATCATCTGCAGCAGCAGCAGCAGTGCTTTTGGTGCGTGGTGTTGAACATTGTTCTCCAGTACACAACGAGCTGCAGTCCACATGAGCATCCATAGAAGGAGGAAGAAGCCGCACCGCTATTAATCGGAATCAGCAGCTCTTATGAGTCGCTGTGGGCCATGTTAAGCGCTTCATACTAAAGAGTATAAACAGAGAGAACCCTCTCAAATTCCTGTTTCTACACAAAACACAAGCTCCTGCTGCAGTTATCAAATAAGATTGATTATATAAGACCATGTAGTCCTACGTCACCATTGCGTACAACCCCATAGGGCTGTCCCTTGTAGTTTTTTCCTCTGTTCGGGACCTAACACCACTCGATACCGTGTCTTTAGTTTAGTGGATGTCGTATTACTCCATCAGAGAGATAAATGATGAAGTATTCGATTTTTTTTAGAGTTGTCATTCTTGCATTTATCGCAAGGATCCGACTCTAATTGAAAGGTCTCGCTATTTATACCTTTCGGAGTGTTGAAACACCCTCCAAAGGCACGCCCCTTTGTCAGTCAAAATTGGATTCCTTGTCAACAAAATTAAGGAATGACACCGATAATGACCATGCATCAGAACCCTAGTCTTAATCACTTCAAACTAGGGAACAACGAATAGAAGATTAGGAATCACATAGGTGAAGACTTGTTTCAAGATCGTTCTCGGTCCAGGCAAACCGAGGACTTATCACTATCAACAAGACATAAAAAGTAACAAGGACTAAGATGTGTTACTTTGATTACTGAAAAATCCTGTTCTCCTAGTTTGAAGTAGTCGGGACTAGGAATCGGTAGTAGATCTTACATCCCGTAACGTACCACGAAAAGGTGATCTACCCACGTTACGGGGTAGATTTAACGTTCCTCGGTGCTTTTGCTGTTGCTTTTGATAGCCAAAACAACCTGTTACAACTTTGCATTTAAAAAATT